AAATACCCAATCTTCTTAAACCATGTGTCACATGATAGTGTGTTCTTTGTTAAGCTACAACATGGTTACATGAATAAAGATGGTCCCTTTGTAAACCATTCGATCCAAGGATCAGTTCCTCGAGACCTCGAAATCTGAATTTGGCCTTTTGTATGTCGGTGATAATTGAAAACACTTCTTTGAGATTTCTGTCAGTTAGTTTCAACCATACTGTTGAGGTTACGAAGCTGTTTTTCACATCAGTTTTGTTTACTTGATGACATTGAAGAGAGAAGCTCATGTATATTGCTCTTTCCCGATGTTACTAGGGTTATCATTGCCAACTAGACTGAACCGAGTTTTCATCTATTTGGTTTATCATGTGAGTTTCATCCCCAGCATCAAGAATTCTACGGATATCTTTCCATATATGGCTCTTATAGTGGGTGTGTTTCTAATTCCTACAACGCTCATTACAGAAGAAAATGTGATCAATATCACACTTACCCTTGCCTGAGACAATATCAAGCTCAATTGGTATCTCTTATTCAATTCATCACTAGCATATCTTGAGAATTTGATCAACTTTTTGGTCATACCAGCATCTCATTTGTATTCCTATTAAGTTTTGTTCTCAAGTGGTCTTGTGACGTCATTCAAAAGCTTTGAACACTAGGCAAAGAGCTTCAATGATTGAGAACATCTGAGCAGAAACCACAGGAAAGGATGAATGTGTTGTCAAATGTTTTACGAACATCTGAGCAGAAACTACAGGAAAGGATGAATGTGTTGTCAAATGTTTTACGAACATCTGAGCAGAAGCCACAGGAAAGGATGAATGCGCCGTCAAATGTTTTACGAACCTGCTATTCTGATGTTGAACCAATGTTACGATTATATGGTTTCCATTTATTGATCAAGTCTGTCTTCTTCCACCCTAAAATTAGAAGCGAGATATAATGAAGATTTCTTTCCACAGAAGGGAAGCAGAAATTTTAACAACAAGAAACTAGTGGCACCAACTAAGGTTGAACGACAGGTTGTTGTTAAACATCTCGACATGATATGGTCCAAGTTGCCGTATTCGAGATTGGATTAGATGTGGAGATATGAAAGGAATTAAGATAAATCCTCCTTGTGATATGTTTCAAGAGTCAAATCAAAACAGACTCAACTCTCCTAATTAAACCCTGCTGAGTCAAACATATCTACATCTACATTCTTCAAAGATGATAGATTCTCTCTTCAAAGATGATAGATTCCCTTTTTAAAGATGACAGATTCTCTTTTCAAAGATGAAAGCTTTATCAGATTTCTGCACAACTCCAAGCAAAGAAAGTTGGTTTTATCCAAGACAAAATGGGGCATCAAGGTAATAGTTCTGACTACGACAAGAGTTCCACAAATGAAACAATTCTTCTGAGACTTTCATGAAGCAAAGAATACATAAAGATACAAGTTGATCAGATGGTTCTTCAGAAATGCAAGCTTGATAGCATAAGTTGCTACACTGATATCCAGAGGTGACCCTGACAATAAATGATGAAGTGGAGGAAAACCAAGCTCACCATTTTGAAGTCAAATGAAGATTGCATCAACATTCATGCATCATATTTAGGCATTTGCAAAAATAGGTGCATTTTCATTCATTTTATCCATGTTGAATTTTGACAGGAATTTCAAAAATTTTAGCAAAGATTTAAATCCATCATTCAATGGATCAGCATTGCCAGGTCGAGTTCATAATGAGAAGAACTCATCTGAAGAAGAAGAAGAAGTTCATAATAAGAAGAACTCATCTGAAAGAATAAATTCATAATGAGAAGAATTTGTTCAACTTTTTGTTCAAAACCATCACTTGATGGATCAAACTTTCCAGAGGAAGTTCGTAATGAGAAGAATTCATCTGAAGAAGGAAGAAGAAATTCATAATGAGAAGAATTTGTTCAACCTTTTGCTCAAATCCATTATTTGATGGATCAGCTTTTCCAGAGAAAGTTCATAATGAGAAGAACTCATCTGAAGAAGGAAGAAGAAGTTCATAATGAGAAGAATTTGTTCAACCTTTTGGTTAAATTCATCATTTGATGGATTAACATTGTCAGATAGAGTTCATAATGAGAAGAACTCATCATCTGAAGAAGAAGAAATTCATAATGAGAAGAATTTGTTCAACCTTTTGCTCAAATCCATTATTTGATGGATCAGCTTTTCCAGAGAAAGTTCATAATGAGAAGAACTCATCTGAAGAAGGAAGAAGAAGTTCATAATGAGAAGAATTTGTTCAACCTTTTGTTTAAATTCATCATTTGATGGATTAACATTGCCAGGTAGAGTTCATAATGAGAAGAACTCGTCATCTGAAGAAGAAGAAATTCATAATGAGAAGAATTTTTTCAACCTTTTGCTCAAATCCATCACTTGATGGATCAGCTTTTCCAGAGAAGTTCATAATGAGAAGAACTCATCTGAAGAAGAAGAAGTTCACAATGAGAAGAGCTTGTTCAACCTTTTACATAATTTTATCACAGACGCAAATAGATTAGCATCAACTTTCCAGAGAAAGTTCATAATGAGAAGAAATCATCTGAAGAAGGAAGAAGAAGTTCATAATGAGAAGAGCTTGTTCAACCTTTGTTTGATTCTATCACAGAATGAGATAGATCAGTATCAGCATTTCCATAAAAAGTTCATAATAAGAAGAACTCATTTGAAGAAGGAAGAGAATTTGTTCAACTTTTTGCTAGATTACATCACAGAAGAAGATAAATTGTCATCCCCAGCGAAAAAGTTCATAATGAGAAGAACTTATCTGAAGAAGAAGAAGTTTGTAATGAGAAGAACTTATTCAACACTTTGCATGACTCTATCACAGAAGGAGATAGATCAGCACCAACATTGCCAGAATGAGATAAATTGTCAATCCCAGTGGAAGAATTCATAATGAGAAGAATTCATCCTAAGTGAGCAAAAAGTTCATAAGGAAAAGAACTTATAGATCAGAAGTTTAAACATTTCAAGCTAAAAATGGTGTTTTATGTCTTTGCTCCATTCCTGTTCCACAGCAACGAGCAAAGAGGGGCAACTGTAATCACCATTTTTACCTCTCCATTCCAGCATCTCCACGTTGCATTTCCAGTAGCTTCCAGCGACAGCTGCCCCTCCACGTTGCAGCTACAAACAGCCTCCAGCAAGCCGGGACAGCAGCCCCTCCACGTCTCAGTTCCAGTGGCTTCCATCACCTCCTTTGGCCAGTGACTCACCGAAGCTTTCCCCTTTGGACTGGTCTAAGACAAACACTGGAGGTGGCTATAAAAGCCACCACACCTGCGAGACAGAAAAAAAAACAGACAGAGGACAGTAAAAAAAACCAATAGCCAGAGAACACAACAATACCAACGACGAGGACAACCACCGGGAAAAAAAATACAGAGGAAAAACATAAACAAGCAGACAACAACCAACAACACAACAACCAGAAGCCAAAAGAAAAAAGAAGAGAAAGCTTACTCGGTCATCGGAGACTTCGAAACATCACCGGAAACCTTCGAACTTCGAAGGTAAAATCCTAGATCTAGGAAATCCCGAGGGTTTTTAGGATAAATAAAGGCCTTAGTCGGACTTAGAAAGAGAAGATCTAAGTTTTGGGGTATTTTGTAAATTTCCGGCCACCGTTCACGGTGGCCGGCGGTGGTGACCGGTGCCGGAACACGGCTGCCGGTCGGAATTTGTCTCCCTCCGGTGGAGGGTTTAGAGAGAAGACAGAGAGAAATTTTTTTCTCTCTGTTAGAGAGAAAAGAAGAAAGGAAGAAATGATAAGGGTGATCCTTGGGGCCGGCTTAAATGGGTATAAATACCCTCATCAAAACGACGTTGTTTTGATGAGGGTATCTGTGTAATTTCATATATGGGTAAACCCCATCCGCAGTCCATTAGTTTTATAACTTTACATTTTAGTCACTAAATCGAGTTTATAATCCTTTTAATTTGGTTCTTTAATTTTAGTTTTATTTATTTTAGTCCTTTATATTAAAATAATATATTTAGGATAAATATCATATTTAGTCCTTTAATTTTAATAATTAATATTTTAATCATGAGTATATATTTTTAATTTATTTTAATATGATATTCGAATTTTATATAGTTTTATTTTAGTCACCAAATTAATAAATAAGGAAAATAACATGTTTAATCCCTGAATTTTTAAATAATTACGAATTAGGTATTTAATTTTATTAGATTATAATTTAGTTACTAATTTTAAATATTTCATAAAGTTTTACTGCTTTTAAATATATAGTTCTAATTTTATTTTTATTATTGATTATTTATGTTTTAATTGTACTTGTTTATATTGAATATTATTTATATTATATAGTCATATAAATATATATAATAATAATAATTTATATTAAATCTTAATTTGATTTTACATAAATTATGTTTTTATCATATTTTAATATATATATATTTTTCAAAACCAAAGAAAAGGGCAGTCTTAATACAACTGGATGTCCTATTCTGGTATTTTAAAATTAAATATTATGATAAAAAAAAATTAATATTTATCAATATCAAAGAAAAGAGCTGTCTTAAGGCACCTAGAAGTCCTTTTCCGATATTTTTAAATAAATAAATATTTTTTATATAATTGTGAAATAATAGGATTATAAATTAAATATATTTTTGAATTTTTAAAATTTTAATAATAGAGACAATTTATAATTAAAAAGTATCAATTTTGGGCGTTGTAGGGGTGCTAATCCTTCCCTAAACGTAACCGACCACGAATCCCTTTTTATTATTAAAAAGAACGAATTTTTGGTTATAAACGAAGATCAGTTCATTTTTTAATTGATGTTTTTTTTAAACTCTTTTAAAAGATAATTTTTAGGTATTCGACCTACCTGATCCAAAAGGCCGATGGCGACTCCCAAATTATTTTCAAAACCATTTATTCACATCAATTTTCCCGCCAAATAAATATTTCGTGCCCGGACGAAAACCGGTTACGACACCGAGTATCCCATCATTTCAATCATGTCCTTGATAACGTGATAAAGCGTAGGTCTAACCTAGAAATAATGGCCAAAGCATATATCAGCACTCATTCTATACAAAACCAAGTGACAACCCCAAATGCAATATATCCCATAAGCTATGCGGAAGAGAAAAAAGATGACATACAACTCGGACATTGCACAATGCTGCCTTGAGCAAGACACTTGGCATCTTCACTGCATTTAAAACCACAACTCACATCAAATCAATTATGACTAGGAATGATAATAAATAGATACAAAAGATTGGGACCATGTTCACATACAAACGATGATTGGTAGAAGAAGCCCAGTCCCATCTTCCATCTTCAGAACAATGGCATGATGAGGTGCATAATTGGGCAGATGCCCATTTTGAGGACTGTTATGAACACATCTTAAATGACTACCATACCTCATTTTAATCATAATTCCATCAGGTCCACAAACCACCTCATCTACATGAAACAATTGTGAAATATATCAGTCAACAATTCTATAAGACGGAAGTTATTTTTCAATTTAAAGGAGGCAGCAGCAGCAGCAACAAGAAGAAGAACTAAACAATAATCATTGGCTTAATTAGCGCTCACATACCAGCTTCAGCCACACTGGAATTAACATAATTTCCATCGTTTTCGTCAAAACTTCCATTCCAATCTGAAGATGAACTGAAACAACAATGCACCGTGGTCTTGCAATTTCGAAATTTCAGTTTACGGGACTTACTCTTTCCGTCAATCTCTCTTCTGTATCCCCATATATCACTTGTAAGCAACCTTGCCCATGGGAAATGCCTATTTACCATCAGCGAGTTAACCCCAACTTGTTTGCTCTGAAAGGCGGGGCAAATCACCGGTCCTTGCAACGAAACCATATTTCCCGATCACCACCTATACCACAATAAAAAATAAATGTCAGGTGTATATCATTTATAGATATTAGTTTCCTGATGAGAATCTTAAATGAATTTTTACACTTCATTCTCGTTTTTTCGGTTAGACATCAGATTTTAAAAACTAAATTGTTAAAGAGAATTTCTAAATTTGAAGACAATGGATGATCCGACAATTTAAAAAAAGTAGTAGTTGTACAATCAAAGCATTGATTAATGTGAAATCGGCAGATAAAATTTTGAACCTGAAAAGATTTCCCAAACAGGCAACTCTTAACTTTACAAAGATCATATCATTTTGATCTAAGATGAGAGCAAAGTTAATCAAGAAACTTTGGACGAGTCGTGGTTAATTAAAATGCGGAAATCTACACCCTTTATTTCTATCCGAAAAGAAAAATCTACTCCCTTCAATCTAATTCCACATTTTGTTTTTTTTTTTTTATTTTCTTTTTCAATATAAAATCATATGCTTATATAAATAATACATTATTATATACTTTTTTTATAGTTTAAAATAATTATAAAGTAACATTTTTTATATTTTTAATCATAAACAACATATATATCTTATAAATGTATTTGTTTGAATTTAAAACCTCAGAAAAATATCATTCGTTAACTACTAAAATCAATCAATAAATTTAATACTCTCTTTATTCCATAAAACATGGGCGTTTTTCTCGAAAAATCACCGGTGACCGGTATATTTACCGATCTAACACCCATAGCAGTAAAGCGCGCTCCCTGCCCCGCGCTATATGCTGATTTGGCGCCACGTGGGGTATAGTGCGCCCCCTGTACCGCGCTATACGCTGACATAGCTTACACGTGAAGCCGCGCTATATGCCACGGGATATAGCGCTGCCCCTGCTCAGCGCTATATCTGGGTATGAATTATAGGGTCCGCGCTATACCTTTATCTAAATAATTACATATAACGTGATGCAGGTACCGCGTCTTATATGGTTATAAATACCCTTCGCTCCCCGTTAAGTTTCTCACATCTCCTCACATCTCTCTCCTCTAACTTATAAATTAATACAATAATTCCGTCAACGAGCAATAATTCTGGTAATTTTCTCATATTTAATTTAGAAGTTCGTGTGATTTTTCGCTATAAATTTTGTTATAAATTTTTTTATTATACTTATTGTTTATTATGATTATTTGAAAAAAATATTATACTAATTATTTTCAATTAATTTTTGTGTTTGTAAAATTGAAAAGCATGAGCATACGTCAAAATAGTTTTGCGGTACATGTAATAATATAAAATTATATTATTTAAATTATTTACGTTGATGTGTAAAAAATTTATTGTGTTATATTTTCGTTCATATATAATTTATTTAATCCGGTTTGTTTCAGTTATTTTTTTTTTGCAAATATAATATTGCCGCACTTTTAAACTCAAAGAATAGCGTGACTTTCAACTATTGTTTATATTATGATGGTGAAATTCGAGAAGATGAAATCGGCGTTGTTTTCGTATCAAATGAGCATGTTAAAATATCTTTCAAGAGAAACATAACTATTGAGGAGCTGATAACGAAGATTTCGAGGAAGATTCATGTTGGAAGTAGTAGAAGAATGTCGTCGTTGCAGTACAGATTTCCAACATAATTGTTGCCATTAACTTATACAGTGTTTAAACTTTCGAACAATGATGATGTTCAAATGATGGTTGAAGCTCAAAGTAATTATTCAGACGCCGCTATTGAGATGTCTACCTAAGGCAGAAATAAGGTCTGGTTCTATCTTACAGCGACCCTGATATCTACCTATGTAACCAAATCCAGCCTCTACTAAATACGGCAAGACACGGCTAAATATCACTACCTTAAGATTCCTAATAAAAGGATCTAATACACGGTCCTTCTCCTAAAATTAAATAATTACACAAATTAATTCTTAATCTAATAATCATGCATTACATAAATCAACAAATTATTACAAATAATTTAAATTAAATTAAAACGTTAAAATGTTACCGTATCAGCAAAATGTCGAGATATATGATTTCCATCTAAGCGAAGTAGACCGCCTTCCATTATATATCTGCAAAAAAATTATATTAGTAAAATATTAAATAAAGAAAAATGCTTAAAAAAATTAAATACATAATATTAAAAATATTATAAAATATACCTTAAATAGAGAGAGTATTTGAGAGTATTTGAGAGAATATGATGTGATGAAAGTAATAGAGGATGGGGGTATTTATAGGGAGGATGGGGGTAATTAAAGGTATAGCGCGCCCTCTGTACCGCGCTATACCCCACGTGTCAGATAAACAGCTATAGCGCGGATCAGGGGCCGCGCTATACCTACGTGTAAGCCATGTTAGTGTATAGCGCGGTACAGGGGGCGCGCTATACCCCACGTAGTGCCAAATCAGCATATAGCGCAGGGCAGGGAGCGCGCTTTACTGCTATGAGTGTTAGATCGGGAAATATAATCTGACCGGTGTTAGATTGGTAAATATACCGGTCACCGATGATTTTTCGGGAAAAATGCCTAAAACATGTCCATTATTGATTTTTTTTCATTTGTTTAAAATTTTTTAAAATAATTTTTATTTTCAGTTTTTAAAAATTAAAAATCATATTTGGTTAATATAATGAAAATTTGAATTTAGAAATAAAATAATGAAAATATATTTGATATCTAACTTTTTTTTTAAAATTATAATTATTTAAAAAATTATTATATAAATTTAATATGTGGGTTATGAAAATATAAAACAATAAAACTGGTAAAAAATGTATAACACAAAACCTATTTTAGTTTATAATAAGAGTATAATGTTATTGTATATTGGACATCAATAAATTAAAAATTATACAAAAAATATTGTTACAGATAAGATCACACAATAGAATAATAAATATGTTTAATGGTATTTAAAGTTCTCAAATTTTTGGAGAAAATAAAACTAGGGTAGTCCCTGAACTTTTTTACACTCAATGTGACTCTTAAACTGAAAAAAAATCAATCTAATCCTTTGACCAACAGAATCAAACGTTGATGGTCATCACACTTATACGATAATTCAGAAATCTTATATGACAACCTATAATGTTGATGTAATAGTTCACAATATTGTTGTGACACCACATGATGGATGATGAGGTGGTAGATGGGCTTAATTTATTTTTTAACTAAGTTTGAGAACCTAATTGATTCTAATTAAAATATAAAATATAAATAATTTTTAATATTTTTAATACATTAAATATAAAAAATACTATAAAATTAAATTATTAAAAAGTTCAATTTAAGGACAACACTGATTGTAAAGAAGTCTAGGCACCATATTAATTTTTTTACAAAATTTTGAAGGTTTCAGATACCATATTAAGTTAAAAAAATTATTATTAAAAAGATTTTTTTTGGGTACAAATGAAGTGGCTATGAATACTAGCCTACCATCTTTTTAGCACATTCTCCTCCTAAATCCCTTTCTAACAACTTTATTATTTCTTGTGGTGGGTTGTCCAGAATGTGAATTCCCCCTTTTCTCGAATGCCAGATTAGCGGGACGATTAGCACATCAATTCCCCTCTCTCAGGGCTGTGGCTAGGTTGTTGGAGGCCTATGCAAATTCTTATAAAGGGGCCCTATGCAAATTCTTATAAAGGGGCCCATAGATCTCGAACTTATTTTTCTGAAATAATAAAAATTTTATAGTTGTATTACACTGAGCAAACCCACTTGCATTGTTTTTCCAAAAATAATTTTGCTTGTTAACGAGATTCGAACTTAGGATCAACAAAGTCATGGGCCCAATGATTTAACCACTGCTATATATCTATTTTTATACTTCTTAATGGCAGCAACTGATAGATATACTAAATTTCGGGACCCCTATTTTTTGGGGCCCTACGCTGTCGCGCACTTTGCACACCCTCATCCACGCCCCTGCCCTCTCTACATATATGTCTAACATCCAGTATCCACCCCTCTTTTCTTAGCTCTTCACATTCTCTGTAAATCACTTCCTTTTGAACTCATGTATGTTAATTTAAAAATTTAGATCACGTGTTTTCTCTTTTTTCAAATTTTCAAAACAATTTTAATGAATGCTAAAAACATCTTTTGTATGCTTTCATATTTTCACTCATTTTTTATTTTACATAAATAATTTTTTAATTTAACAACTAAAAAATGTTTTCTACTTTTTGAAAAGATAAAAATAAAAATAATTTATATTTTTTTAAAATCAAACGGACTCTAATATTTTAAAATACGATTGTCGAGAATATTTTATACATTTATTAGGTATTAATATCTTGATTAAAATAATGAGAAAATTATGTTGTTATGTTTGATTCGTTATATATATATATATATATATATATATATATATATATATATATATATATATATATATATATATATATATATGCGACTGTGACATAATTTTTAAAATTAGTCATAATAAATATGGTAGATATATAAGGAAATGACTTTTTTAAATAAATATTCTAAATCAAGTAAAGAGAGAAATTTGCCTTAAGGTTTCAAATTGGATGGGAAAATATAATTTATCATGGGAATCACATTTTTCAAATCAATAATTAATGTTGTTAATGGATACGTCTCGTAAGCTTGTAATTTAAACAAGTTGACCAAAATCGTTCCATGGAAGCCAAAGCTAGCACTTGTTATTCTCCTAGCCGACTTAAGGGCTAAGAAGATAATCGGTGTTTCTTGTCATTATATATAGGATAAATTATCTATTTGTCATCCACTTATTAATTAGTTTGGTTTAGTTATTTAATTATTATTTTTTTTAAAAATTATATGTAACATTCTGTATGGGTTACTCACTTTTAAAAAATCAATGATGATGATGATATTATATATTTTTTTATTTTTCAGTGTTGATATGATATTATTTTATAATGACACATTAATATCACTGTTAATTTTTTAACTTTAGGTTATTAAAATATAATCAAAACACAGTGTTAAGTATGATTTTGAAAAGAAAAAAATAACTAAGTGACAAAACAGAAACTAAATAATAGGTGGATGATTATACAGTTAGTTTACCCTAATATGTATGTCCTAAGATCTTTAATATCTCTTCTCGCTTCCAAACTAACCAACGGCAGTCGTTCTCGAGATCAACCGGTGAAAGTATGCGGCGGCAGCTGCCAAATACCGCCACCGCTGTCGCTAGTCACGTAAGACATGCACGACAACGGCACTAGACATAGACCTCGACTTTTGAGATCCCACTGTACTTCTTCATCTTCATCTTCATCCTCCATGGTTGAACCCTAAAGATCAATGAAACAAATTACATGAAAAAGTTATTTTCCGTTGGCAATTACTGTAGATAGGATTCGCTTACCCCTTGTTTGGATCTGGACGTTTTATTACGAGATGACTTCATATACGGAACGCTTAATGTCTGCCAAAAGCAAATACATTCATCATTCAGCGATATATACACATCTGAAAGTAAGGGCTGAGCCCTACAGTTTGTTCAGTGGAAAAGAACCCTAGCAGCTAGTTTGCCCGAATATTTTAGGGTTAACTTTTCTCTGCAGTACCCCACAAGTGGCCGTTTCCGATGGATCACATGACACATATTGAGGTGGAAATGATACTTTAAGAATGTGTCAGAGAGTAAAAATATAATAATCGCAAAATTCAAGGAGAATGTTTTAGGAAGGTGATGCTGATGGTACCTCAACTTGATTTTGAAGGAATTTGATGTATCCAATAGCCTCCATTAGTACGGATGCTGTATCCGTCTGTGGTATTCTCCACCACCACCACCGCCGGCACCGCATGCAAAAATAACCTCGTTATTTTCCACTAACCAAATCAAAAACCTTAAACGAACTAGTGCAATTACTAATAAAAATAAAACTCTCTTCTGTTTTCTTTTCCTTTTATCAGTCTATGCAGCTACTGTAGTAGTTTATTATTGTGTTTCTTTCCTCTTTTACCTTGCCAAAGGGAGAAACCAATTGTTGTAGAGCTGCAATTCTGTCCCTTAGTTTCTCTTTACTAACCTGTTGGTGCAAAACCAAACGTACTACACTTCAGGTCGGAAAACATGTAAATTAACAATCAATAAATGTCAAAGTTTCAGATTGTTGGTCACCTTAAATGGAGGGCAGGAGGTGCGTGACTCCAAACGATACTTCTTGGCTGCTGCTGCTGCCTGTGCTTCCGATGAAATGCCGGATCTCTTTTCCTTTGTTATTTCAGCGGGGAAGGGTGACATCTTTCATGGAGTGCAAAGAGTAAAGATCAGTTGAATGATCTTCCAAAAAGAAAAAATAAATAAATAATAAAGGCATAAAGCTCTGGTAAAGATATAAGCTTGCATCGATTAAAGCTGAAGGGTGCCCCCTATATTTGCTTCAGTAGACATGGTTTTGAAAAAGATAATATTCTCTTCTTACTTATGAAAAAATGTTTTCAACTTTTCAAATCTTTTTCCTAAGAATCATTTAAGGAAATGGTTAACCAATTAATCATATTTTATTTATTATTCTTGTTAACTAATTCAGTATTAGATTGTATTATAGAGATGTTATAATATGCTAAACACTTGTAAATACTCCATGATTTATGTTCAATGCATGAAGTAAAAAAATAACATTCTCTCTCTCTCTATATATATATGTTCAGAGCCATGGCAGTGGAGTGCTGGAATTGTAGTTGAGGCATGGTTTGTAGTAGAAATGAATGATGCTACAAGAAAGAGTAGGGAACACTTACTTGACTAGGGGAATAAGCTGCTGGCCTTCGATTTGACTGCTGCAAATTATGGTGGTGATGGAGACCAAAAGAATGGCTCATCTCTTTGTATATACCAAGACTATCATGATGATCTTCTGATGGATCTGATGGATAACAAAATCTACTGCTTCTTCTAAATCTCGCAGGATTTAAGAAATCCAAGGCCTCCAAATTCATGTCAAAGGAGCTTGGGATATTTCGGGGAGAAGAAACATGGTTCAAACTTGAAATATTTATACTAGGATAAATCTGGCTGAAACTCCCTCTACTTGGTGAAGAACTATTCCTAGGGATAGAACAATTCTGGGAACTTGAGTAAAATTCCGAGTCTGCAGAGAACATTGGGAAACCAGAAGATATTGTCTTGAACAATAGTTTCTGGCTGAGATCATTCAAATCGATTTGCTCCTTATTCTCCAAGTAGTTTGCTTGAGGCAGCTGACGAGACTCTCCAAAGCTTGAGGAACTGTTAGCCCAGTCTCGGATCATGGAACTGTTTTGAGGAGATGCTAGCATGTCATTTTTTGGCCTTGAGTGCAAGCTTTCCTCATTATAAGTTGGATTGAACTCACTTGAGTTCCTGGGAAAAAAGAGAGGGTATAAATTAGTAAAAAGGAAGAATATACGAAATACTATACTGTACTTGGTGAAACGACAAGTTCTAGGAATCCAAAAACAATGCAAGAAAAAGGAAATATTCTCTCGAGGAAAAAAAACAGCCGATAAATAAGAAAATTTTGAACTACATAATTGTGATTAATGCATATCAAATAAGAAGGGAGTTAAAGTATAGTTCACAATGGCCTGTGATTCTGTGAAGTATGAAGATACACATATTTGTAGAAAGCTTCATAAGAGAGAGAGATAGAGAGAAAGGGCAGCTTACAAAGTAATATTTGGGATCCAAGAATGGGAGCTTGAAACTCCATGACAGGGTGAGATAGATGAAGAAGAAGATGGCCAAACAAGGTGGTTTTGAAGCTGGTGTTGGTGATGGAGATTTTCCGATTCCATAATGATAAATTTAAAAGGAACAAAAAAGAAGGCTTCAAAATCCCAAGATTTAGTAATTAAAATTTCACTACACTGCTAGTTTCCAGGAATCTCTCACTCTTATCAAGGAAAACAGTTCAGGTGACACCCACATATACACCTCCTTATACTTTTACCTACGCAACTTTTTCCAGTTTTTTTTCTTTTCCTCTTTCTGGTGTCCATCTTAAAGCAGCCTTTAAAAGAAAGAAAGAGAGCAAGAGCAGCTTCAACAATTCCTTCTCCCTCGCCCCTTTAATTATTTAATTTTCATCCACACGCACTTTTTTGCAGCTATCCCTCGATACACGATTTTGCTTAAAAAACACTCACTCACTTTGTTATTATTTTTAAAAAAGGAAATGTCTCTGCAGTTACAAGCAGATGGTTAATACTTCCTCAAGGCCATGATTAAGATCCCTGCCTTCAATCCCAAGACTTTCAACAAAGGTCTGAAAAGAGAAATCATAACAACCATGCTCTCTCTTAAGATATATATCTCTCATCTCCGCATGTTCAAAGTTCAACCCCCCATCCCCCACAACACTACATATGGATTGCTTCCATTGTTATCTTCTCTATATATACAGTGAACAAATATTATAATTTCTTCCCACAAACAATCTCCTGTGGAATATGATATAAACTTTTAAATTCTTCATCGGTAACATGATTGACAGACCTTAACTTATTTTTCATTTGCGTCTCTATTTGTGCTGTGTTACTGGTTTTGCTTGAATTTTATCCCCAAAAGTACTTAGTTTGCCCCATAAAAGTATTACTTCGGCTATGATAAATAACATACATTTCTTTTATTTTTTTATATAAAAAAGTATTTTGGACGTGAAGTTATGTTTTGAACTTTGGCATGCCCAATGCAAGTTGGGTTCGGTTATCATATTATCGGTTAAATTTGGGATCGAGTTCGTATCAATCGGATGTAGGTCGGGTTAGGTTATCAAATAATTGGTTAAATTCGGGTTTAGTTTGTTCTCCGATCGGGTGCATGTCTGATTCAGATACACAATTTTCATATCAAACTCGGGTTCAAATCAACACCAGTTCGGACTCGAATCGAATTTGAATCACAATCATCTCGAGCCACAAATTATTTTGACTCAAGTCGGTTTCAGTTAATTTTACGGATCGAGTTAGCTTTTTACATCCTAACTTGGTGATTAAAAGATATGAAGGTCTTATAATTCTTACCATTTCATTATGTATTGATTGGAAAAAAAATGAAAATATCCCTTTCCCTTCCTTTGTCGTGCACTCTCTTAAAGGCTGCCGTTCTCATTAAACTCTGACCTCTCCCAACTATAGTTTACAGTTTTCCTTGTCTTCCCTATTACAGTGTGTAAGTTTTTATTGGCTATTTACTTATGAATAATAAACTCGGTTCATTTTTTATATACCTCAGTTTCCTATAATTTTTTTTTTTTAAATTATTCACATCAAAAGTTATTTATTATGAAATTACCTTGAAAAAAATGTTTGGGTTTGTATTTGATGTAGTGATTTATGTTTTATATATAGTCAATAAACAAAATCATAATAAATTGTTGAAAATAAATTAATTAAATAATTTTAAATTTTATTATGATGCATCATTATTTAATTTATTGATAATATATAAAGTTTTGTAATATCACTATTTTTTTTAAAATTAGATGGACCTCGTTAAAAATACCTTCTATACCTAACAAGAGGAAAAAAAGTATCCGAATTTCATTAACTTAAAATCGTGTCTTTTACAACAACAATAGATAAGCATTATGGATAACCATGCGTAATATCAATATATTAAATATTAACTAAAGTATTTTATAATTTTTTTTATTATTATAGGTTTTTTTATTTGAGGGGAAAAGATAGGAAAACGATCGGGGATGAAATAGGTTTCTCTTGGTGTGCTATCATGATCATATATTAACCCATAAAGAATTTGAACAGAAATATTATGCTAAAAGTTGTTTTTATTTAAAATATGAGTAAGAACTCGAATCAATTTATCTTAACAATTAAAAATACGATTGTTATCCTTAAAGATTTTAAATTTGAGCACTAACAACTGCAAGATAATTAGCTTTTATTATCAAATATGACTATCGTTTGGATGGCAACATTTAAGGCATGAACTCCATGTTATCGGATTTTAATATTGTAATATGTTATTTTATTTTTATATATGATATGATTTATATCATATTAAAATTAAATTCATGATAAAATATAATATTATAATATAAACATAAAACATATATGTATGTTTAAATTTTTAACAAAAATAAATAACATAATAATGATTAAACATTAAATTAAAAAAATATTGGTGATCCTAAAAAAATTAAATTAATATTTACAAATATGTGAGTGTCGATCAATGGTTTTAAACTTAATTTGGTCCAACCCATGATCAAATTTCCTATCACCTTTTCAAATTTTCTATTCAGTGAAAAAAATAATACTCCTACTTGATATATATAATTTATTGTTATGAAATAATTTAAACGAAACAATAAGAATAAGAAAAAAAAGAAAAAATATAATAATAAAGGGGATAATTGTATTATTATCTCAATATAAGTTATGCGCAATGCTTTCTCTTAATTCCATATTTATAAACATAAGAAGTAAATATCATATAAAACTCTAAATCAAACGAATATTAAAGTCCCAATAATAATGTATATCAAAAATATATTTTATAGATAGAGATAGACATCAACAAAAATAAATATTCATAACACTTTCCCTTGTATGTCTATATAAATAATATGCCTCGTTAAAACCTTACTGAGATAAAAACTCTGTGGGAAAAAAATCTTAATGAAGGAAAATAGTACACATATCTTTAATATAGACAACATGTTGCCTCATCAAAAACTTTACCAGGAAAACCCAGTGTGACAAAATCTTGGTTAAGGGAAAAAGAGTACAACTCATAATTACTCTTATGATAATATCGAATAAGATTTTTGAGTATTACAAGTAAATCTTGAATACAATCTTCAAATATTCAAGTAAATAATACATCAATGAATATGTCTTTTCAAATTACCACTTTAACGGATTCATCAAATATTTACATTACTCTTCTTTTGAAGATCATGTGGGGAAACTTCAGATAAATATGTTTCCTTTGATGTATCATCTATAATACCCCAACTTCCGGGCTAGTAGTTTTAGGTTTACTCGAGAGGTATGTGGACCTCGTGGAGTTCGTAATTTAAGTCGTTGGGTTGTTTGGGCTTAATTGGGTTGAAATTGAGTCCAAGAAATTATAAAAAGAGGGTTTTTGAATATAAGACTAAATACGAAGGACCGAAAGTGTAATTATCCCATTTGTGAAAAGAAGAAAGTTTTATATATTCATTCATCTTCTTCCCTTCATTTCCTAACTTCCTTATCTCTTTCTCATCCTTCATCATAGCTAAGAATAAGTTTCTTGAGCTCTTGTTATGCTTCTTTTAAGCTTCAAATTCGTCCCTAATCCTTCCAGCAACCTATTTTAATGATTCAAAGCTTGGGTTATTTGTTTGCTAGAGAAAGTGGGGGTTTATCATCAAGTTCTAAGAGAAGAATGGTAGCTAGCTAAATGAGGCTCATTTCGGGATCCTAACAGCAAGGTAATGTATTTATAATCCTTTGTGGTGTTAAGGCTTTCATAATCATGATGATTTGTTGAGATTTGGATATTAAAACATTTTAGGTTTATGTTTGATTTATGCCCTACATAATGTTATTGTTGTCAAGATTGTGTTTTTATGGTGTGATATGACCCTACAAGACTCTCTTAAGCTTTATTTGTTAATTTTGGGTTAAATTAGAGTGTGTTGAAAACATTTTGATATTTCGATATAACAAATTAAGTTAAATGTATTTTAAGATTTTCCAAAAAGATTTTCTAAGTATATTCGATATAATTATTCGAATATCAAAATATTACTCCAAATCTTTCAAATGTCATTTTTAATCCTTACTCAAGTATAAAATTAAGTTTTAATCTTAAAACAATTTCAAAATAATTTTACAAAGTATTTCGAACCGTTTCAAATCCAAAAAGTCCAGATTGCTCAGAGGGAACTGATTCCCCCCCCAAGGGAGTACCGATTCCCCCTGAATGGTTTGGCTCCGAGAATTCCAGTATGCTCGGAGGGAACCGATTCCCCCACTGTTCAACGGTCAAAATATTTGAATTTTACACTTAGGGAACCGATTCCTCTTAAGGGGTACCGATTCCCCCCACGCTCCAAGCTGTTTTATTAATTGATTTCACACTAAAACGACTATATTATCTTCACTAATCATCCCCGACGTTCAGAAGTGATTCAAGGTGTATTTAAGCAAGCTTAGAAGCCATTGATCAAGAACAAGAAACATCAAGCAACTAGAATCAAGAGAGAATCAAAGAGAAAGCATCAAACCTCAAGTTTGAGCATTTCAAGCCTATTTTTCATTCAATATTCATTTTGCTTTCAAGAACACTTATTTTGCTCAATTGTATTCATTTTTGAGTGTTCTTTTCTTTGTTCTAGAATTGTGCAAACAATCTACCTTGTGAGGATTTCCTTATAAGTTTGCAAATTTGCATTGTTCTCTTTGGGAGAGAGTGTTGTCAAGAATTTGGGGTATAATTCTTGAGGGTTTGTAAGATTAATCTTTATCCTCAAAAGAAAGAAAAATTAGTGAATTTGTGGAAAATCCTTAGTGTGGATAGCTAAGGTAGTGGACGTAGACTTTGGTTGAGAAATTCGAACCACTCTAAATCGCTGTGAAATTTCTTTCAATTTTCTGCAAAAGCTTCCACCAAAATTTTTTATTGCCAATTCACCCCCTCTTGGTCGATTCCGTCAATCGACTAACTCAACAATTGGCATCAGAGCCTAACTCATTTGAAGGTTTAATCGTTTCTTGAGTCGATTCGGGAAGAGTTATATCGATAATCAAAGTCATCAATGGCCTCAACTTCAAACTTTGATCCAAGATTATGGAGTGAATGAGAGACAAAAATGTTCCAGCTCAACTCCAAAGCCATCCATATCATATTTTGTGCTATTGGACCAGATGAATACGGAAGAGTTTCATCTTGTACAACCGCCAAAGAAATATGGATCAAACTTCAAGTCACTCACGAAGGTACCGACGAGGTAAAGAAATCTAAAATTAGTATTCTAACGCATAGCTATGAAAATTTCAGGATGAAACCAAATGAAGATATCAAAGCTATGACAGATAGATTCTCAACGATTGTCAATGGTCTCAAATCATATGGAGAGATCATTTCAAATGAAAAGCTTGTGAGGAAGTTAGTCTACTCCCTCCCAAAATCGTGGCAATCAAAGAAGACGGCAATCATCGAGTCTAAGGATCTAACGTCCTTAACTCTTGAAGAGCTAATCGGTTCACTCCTCACTCATGAAATGATGCTTGAAGATGAGGTGAACCTTGATAAGATTGAAGAGACACCAAAGGAGAAGGAGAAGAAGAAAAACATTGGAGTTGCTCTTAAATCCACAAAAGATGAGAGTGATTCGGATGAAGATGACGATGACGAGGAAATGGCATTGTTTGCCAAACGTTTCAGAAAAATGATGAGACCTTACCGAGGAAGAAAATTCAAACGAAATGAAGGCCACAAAAACGAAAATTCAAACCAAAAGAGAAGGACCCGATCATTTGTTATGAATGCACTACATCAAATGTGTTCTGTAGCGGCGTTTTTAGCGGCGTTTTAAGGGAAAACGCCATAAACTTTAAGCATGTCCGGCGTTTACAATACAAACGCCACAAAATTATACTTTAGAGGCATTTTTTTAAACAAACGTCGCAATAGAGTGGTAATTTAGCGACGTTTATAGCTCAAACGCCGCAATAGAGTTGTTTATAGTGGCGTTTTTTCAACAAACGTCGCAATCACACTACAATAAAATGGGTTTATAGAGGCATTTCTAGTGGCGTTTTTTGAACAAACACTAGTAAATTTATTGTTATCGCGGCGTTTTTAGAACAAACGCCACAAAATAACAAATTTTGTGGCGTTTTAATAGAAACACCACTAATTTTATGCATATAACGGCGTTTTAAGTAAAAATGCCACTAAAGACTCGTACTATCGTGGCGTTTATATACAAATGTCGCTAAAGACTCATACTTTCATGGCGTTTTTATACAAACGCCGCTAAAGACTCATACCTTCGTGGCATTTTTATACAAACACCGCTATAGACTAGTACTGTAGTGGCGTTTTGTAAAGACTCTATCGTGGCGTTTATATACAAATGTCGCTAAAGACTCATACTTTCATGGCGTTTTTATACAAACGCCGCTAAAGACTCATACTTTCGTGGCATTTTTATACAAACACCGCTATAGACTAGTACTGTAGTGGCGTTTTGATACAAACGCCGCTAAAGATTCTTACTTTAGCGGCGTTTAACAAACGCCGCTATAAACTCGTACTTTGGTAGCGCTTTTATACAAACGCCGCTAGAAAGTAGTACTTTGGTGGCATTTTTATACAAACGCCGCTAAAGACTCATACTTTAGTGGCGTTTTTATATAAACGTCCCTAAAGATTTGTACTTTAGGAGCGTTCGTATTTAAAAACGCAGCACAAAGTTCAACCCCTTTAACCCTTTTCGTTTCCACTCACGACACCCTTTAAGCCGTAGTTTAAAAACGTCTGGCAGCTCAAAGTTTCTCTCAAACCTTCCCTCTCACGGCCACCTCTCCGCCATCATCTCCTCCAATATGGTTTTTACCCATTTCTTCTCACTCGCTTATTTAACGAGAAAAGAAAACGGGAAGATCTGTATTTATTGTGCTTAATTTCATCTTGTGTTTTCGTTCTTCCCCTTTCTGTTTTTTTATACTTCAAGCTTTCTTTGTTTCCGTAACTTTGGTTTATGCTTAGGGATCGACTAATTGTTCTCGGTAGCAGACTTTAAATGGTGCGTTTTAATCTTTTAGCTGGGTTTGTGTTTGATTGATGAGAAAATAAGAGAGATTGCTAAAAAATTGCTTGTTGAACCAGAAGCATGTTCTGTATTTCTGAGTTTCCTCAAATCTTGGCTTTTCATTTCCTCAAAAGTGGCCTGTTTAATAACAACACCGAAGAATCCAGCATCGGCCTGAGAAATGGTAAAGAAATTTTTGAAAATAGCTTTCACTTTTTTCTGGGATTTATTTAATTTTTATTCGGGGTTGTTTTTATTTTTTCTGGGATTTATTTTGTTTTTCTTCGGGGTTGTTTAACCAGGACTGTGGCGATTAATCTATCATGGGTTACTGACAACTAGGTTTATCTCTAGTTCCTTGTGTAATCCTTTCTTTGTAGGTTTAATTGTTTCTTTGTCTTTGACCAATATTTCTCGTATTATTTGATTATAGACGGAAGCCTTTCATGAATTTATCAAACTTCATACTGCAGGATGTTGCTATGGCATTGCTTTTTGGAATAGGATATGTTGGCTTTATATTTGAGGAGTCTTTAGCCTTTAATAAAAGTGGAGTATGATTGTTGATGGTTGTGAGTTTGTGGGTAGTACGAAGCATCGGGGTAAGAATGATACTCGGATATATGATATTGGATTGTATTTCTCTTTGTGCCTCATCTTGTATATTGGATTAGCGTATCGTAAATTAGGATGAAAACACAAATTTCTGTTGTGTATTGGATACTTGATTTTCATTTTTAGGCACATTCACCTGATATAGTTGTTTCAGAGTTATCGCATACATCTGCAGAAGTCGGTGAGATAGTGTTTTTCTTGCTCGGTGTGATGACCATTGTAGAGATAGTCGATGCCCATCAAGGATTTAAGCTGGTTACTAACAACATTACCACTCGAAAGTCGCGGACTCTAATGTGGGTGGTGAGTTGATTTCTGTTGGCTATGGTCTTATTGACAGTCTGTTCAATAGCTCAGTGGAGCATGACACCCACGAGCGATGTGAATGACACATATCAATAAGATACATTAAGAAGAATCTTAAACCTGCTTGCTTAGGTGTCACGGCCAACGTTATTATGCTGCCAAAACATAATTTATCTGCTTATGATCCTATCGTATTTTAGTATTTTATCTAGAATGAGCCAAATGAAGAAATTTTGATACAATGAAGCCTTATTTGGAATTTTGTGTCATTCTGTTTTGAATATAGATCAACGGTAATTTATGTTTCTTGTCGAAGTTTTTTTTTTTATCTTTATTAGTAGTATGTTTCTCATGTTTAATCAAACTAATACCAGCGTCTCACCTGTTCCTTTAAATTGCAGGTTGACTTCGTGACATTTTTTCTTAGTGCTATCCTTGATAATTTGACATCTACAATAGTCATGATTTCTTTGTTGAGGAAACTAGTACCTCATTCGGAATTCTGCAAGTATGTTATGCAACAGAGTCTTCTGTTTTGGTTCTGAGCATTGCGTGATATTAATATCTTGAAGCCGCATGTATGAATATACATTGCAATAGGCTTCTAGGAGCTGTCATCGTGATAGCAGCAAATGCTGGTAGTGCTTGGACTCCTATCGGTGATGTTACCACTACCATGCTATGGATACATGGTAAAATATCCACATTCCAAACTATGAAGGTGCTTTCGTAACTCTAACAAAGCACATTTAAATTAAATTTCTTTCATTTATGCTTTCATTTTTATCCCAACTTAATATAAGTTCGATGTCATTTCCAACAGGGTTTGTTTCTCTATCTGTTCTGCTGGCGCTTGTGTCTCTGACTAGGTATGTTTCTTGCACAAACAAGACAAGTTGGGAAAGTTTAGTTTTAAGATCCCACCTTTAACTTCATGAATACTGAGGATGTGTTCTATTTCCTTGTGCAGCGAAGTAAATGGGAAAGGACAAGCTTCTCCCAATGTTTTGGCATCCGAACAAATGGCTTCGAGAGGACAACTTGTTTTCTTTGTGGGTTTGTTATGATGCTTGTGATTTTGTTGTTCTTTAATGTTCTCTGACATGTCTTGACTAATTTGATTATGTTCCACCTTTCAGTAAGGCCACACAGTTCACTCAATGCTCCGGAAACTAGAATCGATGAGGGGAAAACTGTGGGATTGCCAACTATTTTGTGAAGGGTTTTCGGATTTGAGTATTGTTATACTTTTTGGTTGTTATGGCTCATATATTATTGTTTATTTTAGTTAATAATGTTGAACTACATTAATGTAAACTTTGATTTATTATTATATATTTCAAGTTTCTTGTTATGAATTTCAAGTTTGATGTTATGGATGTAAAGTTTATTGGATAATGTTTTATGTTAAAATTTTAAATTTGGGTAACAAAAGAGTACAAAACAACATTTGAAAAAGTAATTTTAATTCGCGGCGTTTGTATAAAAAACGCTGATATATATCTGAACTTTTGCGGCGTTTGTATCAAAAAATGCCGCTATAGATATGACATTTTGCGGCGTTTGTATCTAAAAACGCCGCTATAAATATGACCTTTTGTGGCGTTTGTATCCAAAACGCCGCTATAGATCTGACATTTTGCGGCATTTGTATCCAAAAACACCACTATATATCTGACCTTTTGCGGCGTTTGTATCAAAAAACGCAGTGATAGATCTGACCTTTTGCGGCATTTATTCTAAAACGTCGCTATAGATCTCAACATTTTGCGGCGTTTGTTCAGAAAACGCCGCAATAGAAATCGACCTTTCGTGGCGTTTGTTCAAAAAATGCCGCTATAGATATCGACCTTTTGCGGCGTTTGTTCCAAAAACGCCGCTATAGATCTTGACCTATTGCGGCATTTTTTGTTCTCAAACGTCGCTAACTTTAGCGACGCTGGTATTGCCGGCGCTTCTTGCGGCGTTTTTCCAATCGCCACAAGTGCTTTTAGCGGCGCTTAAAAACGCCGCTATAGGACTAAAAAAATGTCGCTAAAACTCTGTTTTATTGTAGTGATGCAAAAAAGCCGGGACATGTCAAATATGATTGACCATAATTGAAGAGAAAGGGTCAATCAAAGAATAAGCACAAGGCTCATGTGGCTACATGGAGCGATGAAGAAGGTTCCGATGAAGAGGAACAAGAAGTAGCAAACTTGTGTTTGATGGCATTCGGGGAAGATTCTAAGGTAACCTCTAACTCATCTGATTTTGATGATTTATCCTATGATGAGTTATTAGAGGAATATAATGGGTTGGCTTCGGATTATGAGAAATTGTTTTTAAAATATAAAAATGATGTTTCAAAATTGAAAAATGAAAATAAACTCATATCCAAAACCAACAACGATCTTGAAAGTAAAATCAAAGATTTGCAAATCAAACTAGAAGAGTTTGAAAAGAAAATTTTGGATTTGCAAAATTTTACTTTCAAAGGTCAATGATGATCATCAAAAGAAAATTGATGATCTTAAAACTTCTTTTGATAAAGTTGGAACAAAACGTTTTGAAAATGGAGAAAATTTAGAATCCAACTTTGTTAGAAAAAGTTTTAAAAACTACAATCATAGAGGTCCCCAAAGAACCTCTAATAGAAAAATCGTTAGAAGTATATGGGTTCCTAAAGAGCTCATTACTACTAAAGATAAGGATATCCTACACAAATGGATACCTAAGGGGACTAGGATTTTGGAAACTAATGAATATGGACCCAAAAGAATTTGGGTACCAAAAATTAGAAATTAATCTATGTTTGTAGGAAAAGGAGCATTGCTACAAGGCATGGGAAACAAATCCAAATTAATGGTACCTTGATAGTGGATGCTCAAGACACATGACCAGAGACAAAAACCGGTTCATTGAGCTTAACGCCAAAAATGGAAGAGAAGTGACTTTTGGTGATGATTCAAAAGGTCACATTGAAGGTATTGGTACTATTGGTAATACATCTTCCATACAAATTAAGAATGTTTTATATATGTGAATGGATTAAAGCATAATCTATTGAGTATTAGTCAATTTTGTGATAAGGGATTCAATGTCATGTTTGATATTAATGGTTGTAAAGTCATTGACATTGCATCTAATCAGATTATGCTTGTTGGTCATAGAATAGGAAACATATACATGGTGCATTTAGATTATATTGATATGACTAATTTGTGCCTAGTTGCTAAAAATGAATATGATAGTTGGTTATGGCATAAGAGACTAGGATATGCTAGTATGAGTGTTTTGCAACGGCTAATTCAAGGTGATTTAGTTCGAGGGTTGCCTAAGCTTAAATTTGATAATGATAAAATCTGTGATGCTTGTGCTAAAGGAAAACAAAAGCGAGTTTCTTTTAAATCCATTAATGACGTATCAACTAGTAGAGTATTACAATTGATCCATATATATCTTTTTGGGTCAACTAGGACTACTAGCTTGGGTGGAAAACAATATGCATTTGTCTTGGTAGATGACTATTCTAGATATACTTGGGTTCTATTCTTAAGTACTAAAGATGAAGCATTAGAAAAATTCATCACGTTTTCAAAAGTAATCCAAAACGACAAAGGTTACTCTATAACTAGTGTTAGGAGTGATCATGGCACTGAATTTGAAAATCTTGGATTTACTGAGTTTTGTAATTCTAATGGTATTAGTCACAATTTTTCAGCACCTAGAACCCCTCAACAAAATGGAGTTGTTGAGAGGAAAAATCGAACTTTAGAATAAATGGCTAGAACCATGCTTTGTGAAAATAATTTGCCAAAATATTTTTGGTCGGAAGCCACAAATACCGCTTGTTATGTTGTAAATCGAGTAATGATTAGGCCTATTTTAAAGAAAACTCCATATGAAATTTTCAAAAATAAAAAGCCTAACATTAGCTATTTTCATCCTTTTTGATGTAAATGTTTTGTTTTAAACAACGGTAAAGAAAACCTTGGCAAATTTGATGCTAAAAGTGATGAAGGAATTTTTCTGGGTTATTCCTTAAATTCTAAAGCTTGTCGAGTATTTAATAAAATAACTTTAGTTGTAGAAGAGTCTATACATGTTGTTTTCGATGATAATCCCCTTCCGAGGAAGGATTCTTGTGTGAAAGATGATGTAGGTATTATAAATACAAATGACGTTAGAAATGACGTTGGAGAACCATCATCAAAGGAAGAAATAAAAAATGAGGAAACTCATGATCCTCTTGAAAATCCAACCATTGAAGAAAGGGAAGTATCTTATCCAAGAGAGTACAACTATGTCAAGGATGGTGAGATTATAGGTGATCCATCCAAAGGGGTAACAACTCGATCTTCTCTTAGAAATATTTGTAATTATGTTGCATTTATCTCATGCATAGAGCCTAAGAATATTAAAGAAGCATTAAATGATGAACATTGGATTATGGCTATGCAAGAAGAGTTAAATCAATTTGAGAGAAGTAAAGTATGGACATTAGTTGAAAGACCTAGTAATAAATCTATTGTAGGTACTAGATGGGTATTTAGGAATAAGCTTGATGAGAGTGGTAATATAGTGAGAAACAAGGCTAGACTTGTTGCTCAAGGGTATACTCAAGAAGAGGGCATAGACTATGATGAAACATACGCTCCCGTAGCTAGGATGGAAGCAATTAGAATGTTACTAGCATTTGCATGTTTTCATGAATTTAAATTATATCAAATGGATGTTAAAAGTGCATTTTAAATGGTTTTATAAAAGAAGAAGTGTATATGGAACAACCTCTAGGTTTTGAAGATTCAAAATTTTCGGATCATGTTCTTAAATTGACAAAAGCACTTTATGGTTTAAAACAAGCTCCAAGAGCTTGGTATGAAAGATTGTCAAACATTTTAATTGAAAAAGGTTTTTCAAAAGGGAAGGTTGACACTACATTGTTTTTAAAGCATAAAGGTAAAGATTTATTAGTAGTTCAAATTTATGTTGATGATATAATATTTGGTTCTACTAATGATGTTCTTTGCCAAGAATTTTCTAAGCTAATGCAAAGTGAATTCGAAATGAGCATGATAGGGGAGCTCTCATTTTTCTTGGGACTCCAAATCAACAAAGCTTGACTTAGATGAAGGAGGTAAATGTGTATATGTTAAATTATATAGGTTAATTATTGAATATCTACTTTATCTAACTGCAAGTAGACCAGACATTATGTTTAGTGTTTGCTTATGTGCTAGATTTCAATCATGCCCTAAGGAATCACATTTACTAGCTGTTAAGAGAATCTTTAGATACCTTAAGGACACTCCTAGTTTAGGACTTTGGTATCCTAAAGACTCTAGCTTTAGCTTGCATGCTTTTTCTGATGCGGATTATGGAGGATGCAAATTAGATAGGAAAAGCACCTCCGGTACTGGCCAATTCCTTGGAAATATGATGATTTCTTGGTTTTCAAAGAAACAAAATTGTGTTGCATTATCTACCACTGAAGTCGAATACATTTCAGCTGGTAGTTGTTGTGCACAAGTTTTATGGATGAAACAACAACTTTTTGATTATGGAATTGAAGTTGGTACCATTCCTATCAAGTGTGACAATACTAGTGCTATTTGTCTCACTAAAAATCCCATCCAACACTCTAGAACTAAGCACATTGAAATAAGACATCACTTCATTAGAGACCATGTCACTAAGGAAGATGTAGTTCTAGAATTTGTTGATACTTTGCACTAATTAGCGGATATCTTTACAAAACCTTTAGACAAGGAAATATTTTGGACACTTGGGAGAGAATTAGGTTTGACCAACCTATCTTCACTTAGTGTTTAAAATAATTTTAGCACTTTTAAGACTAAATGAAAAATGCTAATTTTTTATTGCATTCATTGCTATTAGTTAAGGGGAGTTTATGATTCTTGATGAAAAATTAATTTTATGTTCAAATATCGTTTAAAGATTAATTTGATTGTTTGAACATGATTAATTTCACTATATGAGTTGTAAAATACCACTAGAGAAAATTAATTTAGCATTTTGTGTGTTTAAAATCGGATTTTAGTATTTTGGTGCAGAG